ATTTCCCAAACTATGGGCTGCGGCCCGATAGCGGGCTGTGGGAAAAAAATACCAGGCCTCAGCATGGCTGCCGGGAGGGGAGCAGAGCGGGGCGGGCTGGGAGGAGGTCGGGGGGAAACCGATCGCTGGGAAGCAGGGCTGGGGGCAGTGGGGCTGTCCCGCGGAGATCCAGGCGGGAGGGTGGCAAAAGCAGGGCTAGGGGCAGTGGGGCTGTCCTGCGGATATCCGGGCGGGCGGCCAATGGAAGCAGGGTTGGAGGTAGTGGGGCTGTCCCGCTGAGATTTTTGAACAAACAGACTTGCAGACACACAGATGGACAGATGGACTCACAGAAAGATGGAAGCACTCTACAATATATAGAACGATGGAGTAGTTTAAGGGTCAAAATCATTTCTGTGATATAGTACAGGTTATATAGCATAAAATAGTAGTAGATCCTTATTTCCATATAATTACTGATTAACTACAATATTTGGTTGATTGTCCTATAATATGATGAATAGAGATTTGCCAAAGCAAAATGAAACATTCAGCACAGTTATTTGAAAGATACATACTATACAGACAATGTTTTATTATTGTTTCTTAAGCCTTTGTTTGAATTTACTTGAGGGGAAATTAACATTAAAAGTTACCTTATTTTTTTCATAGACAAAGCGTATCTCCCATGATTGTTCTGAGATTACCTTAGAGAAGTACATAAATCAACGAAATGTAGCAATTTAAAACTTCCACAACTTTTAATAAATTGCCTTGACCTGCTATTGTCACTATATGTGCTGATGGTACAGTAGTTTGTAGTATTTATCAAATTGTGAAGTTCTGATAATACTCTTTCTCACAGTAATATGTGAAAGATTTCTTTATAAATAAATTCTACTTCAATCCTCAAACTTTCAGGGCAGTCCCACGGAGATCGGGGCAGGCTGGCGGGTGGTGGAAGCAGGTTTGGGGGCAGCGGGGCTGTCCGGCTGAGGACTGGGGAGATCGGGAGGAGAAGGGGGGGGAGTGGGACTGACCTGGCCACATGCAGACCCTGGCAGACGAGTGAATCTGGCCAGGGATTCCATTTTGCCCTTCCCCTCCCCCCCCGCCCACACACACCGTCCCTCGAGTAGTTGCAAACTGCCTGGCTGGTAGACACACTCACGCATCGTGAGCACATCTACCAGCCAGGAAGTTCCCAGCTAAGGACTGATGCACCTAATTATAATAAAATGTACCTAATTAGAAAGTACCAGACATTTTATATGTCTGGTAATTTCTCAATTTGTTTCCCGGACAAAACCCTCAAATACCGGACTGTCTGGTACAAAACCGGACACCTGGCAACCCTGCCCCTCCTTGCACTCTCCCTCCTAGCCAGATATTTTACCCCAATCTGCTCCTGCTCCCGCCTCCTGGAGTGCTCATGCGGCGCCGGGTCCCCCAAGTCCTGGCCCAGGCTGGGCGGAGGATGCAGCCGGATGAAACACTGAAAATGTATTCATTTTTCATTCTTTTTTTATACATGTTTATATTTTTGGGCTGTAAAAAAGAGTACTGAAAAAAAATGGGTTCCAACTAAAGTAGAAAGTTTGGGAAACCCTGATCTAGCCAGCTTTCTATCCATCTTACAGTCCATGTATCCAATCCATATTCCCTTAACTTTCTGGCAAGAATATTGTCAGAGACTGTATCTAAAGCTTTGCTAACGCTGGCACTGGGAGCTTTGGGAGGACCAGAAACAACTTAGTTGAATATTCATCATTTTCTTAATGAATACGCAATTATGCAAATGAATGTTACCAGTCCTCCAGAAACTCGTGACTGGATTTACTGGTCCCCGTGTCAAAAAGTTTGGGAACCCCTGCTCTAAAGCACTTGGGGCCAGGTGAGATAGACACCTATCCACGTCACTTTGTGGCGAGCTTTTCCCCTCCTCCTTTTTGTCACTGCTGATGCACCCTTGCCTATTAATCATTCTATTTAAATTGTATTTTTTCATATACATTGTAACTGTGATTTCAGATTCCAGGAATCAGGAATACCAAGAGTTTACCTCCCTCAAGATTAGCAATGGATTTCAAATTAATAGAAATATTATGGGAAAACAGCTGACATTATGACTGAAGTTGAATATCGATTTTGTTAATTTCTCATAGCTACTCCCACCTTGCACTCTGGCAAATGGTTTCCCATGTAAAGCATGTATCAAGTTCTTAAAATATCTCTGTTTGCTGTACATACACAATAGCTAGAGCTAGTAGTTACGTGGCCCTAGGAATGAAATTACATTTTATTGCTTTTTAACCAAAATCCGTTTTGGTTTCTGCCTAATTAGTCTAATGATTTGAGTAGAAAAAAAGCTTCAAATCCACTAATGTATGCAAATTTCATTACTGATTTGGGTGAAGCCGCTAACTGGACAGTCTGTTGTTCCTAGTCCCAGTGGTAATACAGTAAAACTCCAGTGGTTCGGAATCCAATGGTCCAGCACTCCTGATGGTCCGGCACCATCTGGAACCCAGAAGTGCCCCAGGCAGCCGGACAATTGGAGCTGCTCTGCCCCCGACTTCCCGGAGTCAGCCGCTGGCCAGTTTCAGCAGCGGCTGACTTAGGGAGTCTGGGGCAGAGCAGCTGGGGTGCTGCCGGGTTGGTCCCGCAGCACTGAGGGGCGCATCCCCCCCACTCCCCCCCAGACTCCTCATAGCCCCCCCCTTCCGATAGTCCAGCATATCTGATAATCCGGCACCCTCTTGGTCCTAAAGGTGCCGGATTATCGGAAGTTTACTGTAATGTGTTGAGAGTTCAGTTTACCATGTACAGAGCAGATCCACTAATCAGCTGCTTAGCGGTTGCCCCAGCCTGGCTCAGGACAAATCCTACTGTCAGATTCTGACCAATGGGAGCAAAGAGGAAAGCCTCCAGGAAGTGCTGCAAGGCTGTCCCAGCCGGGGACAGAGAAAAGGCAGCATGTGCAAGTCGTATCCGTGGGGAACCGTGGGGCTTTCTCCCCCACCCACTGTTTTCTGGGACATTTCAATACTAGGAGATTTAAAATCGTGTCTGTCCCAGATTTTCCAGGATATATTGTCAGTGTACCTATAACAGAGCAGTTGCAAATTGTGATATTAAGAACTCTCACGCATTGGTTTTTAAGAGTCTAGCCTATCCAAAGGTTGTCATTACTTTTAGCAGAGCCCTTGAAGTTTTGTAAATGTCTATGATTCCATATTTAATTGCATGCAGACAGTATACTGTCAGTAGTTATAAAGGTAACATGCAAGTGAACTGATAGTGGAGATAAAGCAGACTACCGCTCAAGAGCATAATATTCATGTGCTGTCCTTCTACGCAGCATGACAAAAGCAGTATTACATATACTTCACACTGGTTTCTGTCAGCACTTGGATACTATGAGGTCAGCTACTTTGTGAGTGACTTGGTTATCTCTTTATTTTTAGAGAAGAAATTTTTTAAAAAGAAGTTCAATGAACATTTGCAATGTGGTTCAAGAGCAGCAGTGGAAGTGATTTAGTGGTCAGAACAGAAGGAAACTGCTTCAGAACAGTCAGAGAAGCTCTTTCCAATTGCAGGATGTTTTCTTACTTCGAAGGCAGTTACAGTGCTTTCAGTAAAACTACCATGGATTTAGGTACGGCAGAGCAGAAGAGTCAGATCAGAACACCAGCTAGTGTTTTTTTTTTTTAACTTCTTTATTAATGGGATTCTGCAATTCTCTTCTTCTTCTGAGCCGTTGAAGGGACAAATGAGTTGAAAATTGCAGAAAATCTCATTCTTGGGCACAGCGTAGCAGATATGCAAGAAATAGGGTTTAATGTAAAAATACTGCAAATAAAATTTCTGCTGACAGAGTTTAAATTACTGTTATTCATTGGTATTTACTTCTGTGAAAGGGACATCTTAATGCAAAATTGACAGTATAGCTGCAAGGTACCTCTGAATTGTTTGAATTCAGTGGAGATGTTTTGCTTAAGATTTACAGTGTTGACATTTGAGTTCGTCATGGTATAAATCTAAGATACCAGATATTTAATAAAGTTGTTTACACTTGTTCTTGGCACTTGGTCTACATGTTGCTGAACAGGAGCACTGCAAAGCAGCCTGGCTTTGCATTTGTATGGCTGGATTCTGAGAACCTTGCATTGTAAATATAGCATTTACAATTCAAGTCAGCTTTGTGTAAATATTGCTGTTGTTTGGTTCTCAGATTAATCTGATTTAAGACGGATCTTTCAGACAAACAAGAAATCATAGCTAAGGGGTGGGTATCAAAATGTGTTCACACCTACATCCACTATTTGGAATACATTGACAGCGAAAGGTGTGTGCCTATGATGTGAGAACTTTTGAATCTGCTTCAGATGCTTTTTCCAATTAGGTTATACTCTAATTTAAAAGGAGGTGTGAAGTAGTGTTACTTTAGAGAAACCAATGAAAATATGACAGTAAAGTGGAGCATAAAACAGTTTCTGCTATTTCATACATAGACATTTGTTTATAGGGTCAATAGAAATTCTGTAGTACAGTGAATAATAATTAAAAAGACTATGAGTATATGATTTCTGATGCTTGTTGACTTCAGTTAGACTTCTCATCACTTCACCACTACTACGATATTATGATGTTCTCAGCATTTAAGTACCAGAATTTGTATTTAAACTAAGCAAGATAAATCTATCAAAGTAGATTATTTAGGAGAATGGGAACAGTGTCAGAACGCTGTGGTCCCCGTCTCTCATCAGATGTTTCATTGTCCGTTAATATATAACATTCAGGTGACATGTGTTGCATTCTTTGAACTTCCTCTGAACTTCCTGTACTAGCCAGAATCTGATAGAAAGTGAACATGACTTACAAACCGTCATAATTGTTCTACTAAGCATTTTATGGGCCATGACTTTATTTACTGTTAGCCAGTTATTAGTATGACAGAAAAAATACTGTCCAATGTAAAATCACTCTGTAATCTTTTACTGTGTTTCTTTTCTTTCAAGGTGTGACACTTGTTGTATTACCTTTCGCACTCATCGGGGTTTGCTGCGTCATAATGCAGTTATTCACAAGCAGCTTCCAAGAGACCCATTGGGAAAGCCTTTCATTCAGAACAATCCTTCAATTCCAGCAGGCTTCCACGATTTGGGATTCACCGACTTTTCCTGCAGGAAATTCCCTCGCATTTCTCAGGTATTATATATCCCTAGCTCTGAGAATCACAGCTGTGTTCATCCAATGCATTAATTGAAGGATTTTGTATTAGGTCATGCAGGGAGTAGGTGTAGAATGTTTTGTGGAATGCTGTAGAACATATTCAACCTTTATCGATTCCACAGTTCTCCTCCTGAAAAATGTTAGCTCTCAAGCAGGATCTTGGAGGATGCCTTTTAGGTTAGTTTCTCACGAGCTTTTATAATATTTGTAAGGAAAGCTTTTTGGGCTGCTGAAGACCATCTGAACTCTTCCAGCCCTCCAAACAAAGAATTACTTTTGTCCCACTTTTAAAATACTTATACAAGACATGTGATATAGTTGGACATAAATGATGGGCTTTGCTCAGCTCTTTATATGTACATGTTGGTGTGGTATAGAGGCTTTATAAGCATAAAGTTTGGGAAATTCGTATTACTTCTGCATGGCAACATTTTGGGTGACATTAGAAAGTTCCCCCAAACTTGTGCCTGTAACATCTATAACCTCACACCTGCATAAATTTTGAATGTGCTATAGACTTTTGTAAATATTTTTGAGTTGTAAAATTTTGCACTGGAAATTTTGTTTATATCCCTCTGTTTATAGAGCCAATCTGGCTTAGTTATCATGCGTTCAAAAGAAAAAAGTTCATCAGAAGAAGAAAATGAAAATTAATACGTTTGCCGTGCCTCTCAAAAAAAACCAAACAAAAACAAAAAAAGCTCCACAATCCTACAATAACAGCCCACATCCTGGAATAGACTTTTGTATATTGAAGGGCCTGGACTTAAAAGTCCAATACTTCAGGACCACCCAGGTCCAGTGGCTGCCCCATTAGGAAGATAGCAATCTGTACTTCCCAGTGGGAATAATTTCTGATTTCTAGTTCTGGCAAGTAGCAAGATACTAGACCTAAATTCTGTCACTGGTGCAGGACTGTCTATAACAATCCCAATCTGTATCTCATATTGATATGCTTTTTATGAAGGAATTCCACATTCAAAAAACAAGGGAACATTTTTGGCAGATTGATTTCTTTTATTATTTTTATTATTAAAATTCCTCAGGAGTTTGAAAAGTCAGAATTAGTCTTAAAAAAGCTGGATAAATAGGTCCATATTCATGCAATTTATCACGTAATTATCATCCCCACGTTTTTATTTTATTTGTACACATATTTTATTTGTACATGCACAATTGAGATATGCATAGTGTATATAAAAATATAATCTAAGCATTCTCCATGGATTCTACACAAGAGTTAACTTTCTTTAAAGGGAGATGAATTTTAGGCCATAAACATGTCTTCTTAGACCAAGGGTGGGGAACCTATAGCCTGAGGGCTGGATCTATCTTGCCTAGATCCAGGTAAGTGCCCCCTCATCACTAGACCCCATACCCTACTCCTGCACCCACTAATCCTAACCTTCTCCTGCACCGTTCCTCCCGCCCAGACCCCACATCCCAAGCACACTTCCCAGAAGCTCCCTCCCACACATTGAAAACCTCATTTTTAGCCCCACGCCAGAGTGTATGGGAGACCCCACAAAATCTACTAGTCTAGGCCCCCGCAGGCTCTGGCGTGCAAGGGGAAATGTGGGGAGTGTCTTTCTGCTTCTTAGTTGGGGGTCACGTCAGTGAGGGGTTTTTCCTTGCTTTTTACTTTTATCCGGCCCCTGACTGATTTTTCTGTGGGTCAGCGGCCCCAATACATAAAAGGTTCCCCGCCTCCATCTTAGACACATCATTTTGTTGTTCTTCCTTGTCTCAGTTTCAAACCGTAGAGGATTCCAGAATAAATCAAAATTTAGATTTTGTATACATAGTGCTTCCCTGTGCTGTTTGGAAGTGATGTCCTGGAATAAGCATGGCATGTATAAAACAATGGTAGAAAAAGTTGGCCCCCACATGAGCAATAATAGCAACATACGAGGAGCCCAAGGGTTGCATTTATTCACACATACCCTAGTAAAAGAAAGCATGAATTTTAGATATGTTCCCCTATGAGATATTTAACAATAAATCTGCATAAATTTCATTTGCTGTAAACCTCTCTCGTCTTTTTTGTGTCCCCCCCCCCCAATTGTTTTCTCTTTTGTTAATCAGATTACTTGTTAACTTATGCTATGATTTGTTTCTGTTGATTGATTATATAAAAGGCTGTTTTGTTTAAAAAAAAAAAAACACCCTAATCTTCTTTTTCTGAAAAAGGTTAGTTTACACTGGAAAAAGTTTCCCATAAAGTTTGCAGCCTCTTGAGAGAGGAGAATTGAAAGTGTTTCCTTTTGCTGCAGAAACATAAGGCTTGTTTGATATTTAGGCTTTCTCTTTCAAACAATAGGTCAGTTACATTATTTTGTGGCTATCTTGTAGGTCTGGTGTGAAACGAATCTGCGAAGATGCATCAGTGAATTTCATCGATTTATTTGTGAGACATGTAACAAGGCATTCCCCATGCATTCGGCACTCAAACTGCACACACAAACCCATATGGTTGATCAGGGAAAAGAAAAGCACAAACCGCAGGTGAAGACCCCAGCAGGTGAGAACCCAGACCAGAAAGTCTACATGGCATCCTTGGGCCTACAGCACACCAAAGACATCAAGCCTGTCAAACAGGAGGAGGTTATGCAAGATGAGGTCCAGGAAATGCAGCTTAGAACACTGAAGAGTAACCTACCTCAGGAACCTGGCAGCACTAGCCTGCTGAATATATCTTCTCTGGAAGCTGCTTCCAGGGGAGGTTCTTTTTCAGTCTTTCCTCCTACAAAAGAGAACATGAAGCTCCTGTCACTGCAGCCTTTCCAGAAGGGCTTTATCATTCAGCCCGACAGCAGTATTGTGGTAAAACCAATCTCCAACGAGTCTGCCATTGAACTGGCCGACATTCAGCAGATCTTGAAGATGGCTTCTTCAGCGCCTCCTCAGATAAGTCTTCCGCCACTTTCTAAGGCTCCTGCTGTCCCTGTGCAATCTATTTTCAAACATATGCCACCACTGAAACCAAAGCCCTTGGTGGCTCCTCGAACAGTCGTAGCAACCTCTACACCACCGCCGCTGATCAGTGCACAGCAAGCGTCACCTGGATGCATCAGTCCAAGCCTTCCCCCGCCGCCGCTGAGGCTGATCAAAAACTCTGTGGACTCCACTTCCAGTACTCACCTTATGCTGTCCAAATCAGGAAACAAATCCAGTCCTTCACAATTATTCCCTCAGCTCCAGACAGATCCTCTGAGTCAGCATGAAATGAAAACCCAGCTGGAACAAGATAGTATCATAGAAGCCCTGTTGCCTTTGAGTATGGAAGCCAAGATCAAGCAAGAAGTCACAGAAGGGGACCTCAAGGCCATCATTGCAGGGGCAGCAAACAAGAAAGCACCAACCATGAGGAAAGTCTTGTACCCTTGTCGCTTCTGCGACCAGGTGTTTGCTTTCTCTGGCGTCTTGAGGGCTCACATTCGCTCTCACTTGGGCATCTCCCCTTACCAGTGCAATATCTGTGAATACATTGCAGCTGACAAAGCAGCGCTAATTCGGCACCTGCGGACGCACAGTGGAGAGAGGCCATACATCTGTAAAATTTGCCACTACCCTTTCACAGTGAAAGCCAACTGTGAAAGGCACCTGCGCAAAAAGCACCTCAAAGTGACAAGGAAGGACATAGAAAAGAACATTGAGTATGTCACCAGCAATGCGGCGGAGATGGTGGATGCTTTCTGCTCCCCCGACACAGTGTGCAAAATCTGCGGGGAAGACCTCAAGCACTATCGCGCTCTGCGGATCCACATGAGGACTCACAGCGGCTGCCAGAAGAAGAAGCCATTTGAGTGCAAAGAGTGCGGCACTGCCTTCTCAGCCAAGCGAAACTGCATTCACCATATCCTCAAGCAACACTTACATGTGCAAGAGAGGGAGATAGAGAACTACATCCTGGCAGTGGACTGCAGTCCTCAAGAGAACCAGCCAGATCCTCCGCTACTGGAGGACAGCACTTACATGGACCGCAAGTCCATCACGCCTTTCCTGGAACCGCAGAATGGCTTTTTGCGGGGGGCACCTTCTCATGTCCCGATCAAACTTGAACCTGCAAGTAATTTCCCGATGGACTTTGATGAGCCTTTAGACTTCTCACAAAAGAACAAAAACTTAAGCTCAGTGCAGGTGAAGCAGGAGAACCTGTTTGGCGCCTCTCCTCTGTCTCACTATGACTGTTCCATGGAGCCCATAGACTTGTCGATTCCCAAAGCCCTCAAGAAGGAGAAAGATGATGCCCAGAGTGAAGCCAAGAAACAAGACCAAGTTTTTGGGAACAATGACAAGCTCTATAACGGTCAGCAGTGCCCTCTGGCCTTCAGTGCCAATGGCAGCATGGAGAAGAATGAAGCCCTCAAACATTCCCAGCCACTGAAGGGTCCCTTGCATTTGACCGTCCCAATCATTTCCCCAGCTCTTCTTGGCAACCCTGGCTTGCTGCGACCCTTGAGGCCTAAGCCGCCACCTCTTTTGCCAAAGCCTCTAGTAACTAAAGAGCTGCCACCTCTGGCTTCCATTGCCCAGATCATTTCATCTGTGTCTTCTGCTCCTGCGTTGCTGAAAACAGAGGCTGCAGACTCCAGTCCCAAGGCAGTGAGTAGCTCTGCTGGTTCTGATAAATCAGGGAACTCCAAACCCAAAGTGACAATCACGATGGCTGTCCAGAAAGATTCCAGTCTTCCCAGTGACCTTACTCTGCAGGTGTATAATCCAAATGTTCCAGAAACGTCTGCTGTGGCTGATGCTGGATTGGCTAAGAAAAGAGGTAGGAAGAAAGGAACGAAAAACAAGCCTAAAGCGAGCAGCGGTGTGGACCTGGAGTCAAGCGGGGAGTTTGCTAGCATAGAGAAGATGTTGGCTACCACAGACACTAATAAATTTAGTCCATTTCTGCAGTCCACTGATGATTTCAAAGAGGAAGCTGATAGGAATGGAACAAGTGATGATGAGAGAGAAACTGCTGATGATAAGCTGCTGAGAGGAAAGAGGAATGCTTACTCAAACTGCCTGCAAAAAATCACCTGTCCTTATTGTCCCCGGGTCTTTCCATGGGCGAGTTCCCTGCAGCGCCACATGCTCACTCACACAGGTAAGAGAGCCTCATGCTGTCATGCTTAGAGTATAGTTACTGTGCTTATTTCCCCCTGAAAAAGGCTCTCTGATGAGACTTGGCACACCAGGGTAGCTGGAGGAAGGGGAGGGAAAGGAAGGGAAGGGTGTCGTTCGTTCATTCTTTTCCCCTGTTGTGTAGTCTGAACAGTTTTGCTCTTTGTTTTGTAACTTCTCAATCATTTCCATTATTTAGGAGTATAATAATGCACCTCTATGCTATGGTGTTTCTCAGTAATATATCCCTCCTTGTTTCTGTAGCCAAGACTATCAAAGGGGTAAGTTATGTCTACACTATGGGCTAGAGGTCTGATTCCCCCTGTTTGTGTACACATACTCACATCAGCTCAAGTATAAATAACAGTTATAGTCATAGTAGCAGCAGTGGAACAGCTGAGCCACGTACATATCCAGGCAGTTTGTACTTGGCACTGTTCAGTCTTCCCTCTGCTGCTGCTATTTATATTCATGCTCGCTCAATGAGTGTAAGTGCAAAAATGTGTATGCAACAAGAGAATCATAGTCTGAGTTCATAGTGTAGTTGTAGCCTCACTTGATTTCAGTGAAGTTCCTTTATTATGTGTAGGAAGAAAATTTGTCCCTTAGTTTTCAATTAATTTTAACTTTATTCTGAAAATGAGCTTATGTAGTGCATAGTAGTATGTTGATTGTTTGGCTGCCTTTCTTCATGAGCAGCATGCCAGCTTCAGTAAGTATAGAAGGAAATGTAAAACTTAGAACAAATAAATATAAAACTCTGTAGCAGAATTAAGAATGTTGAGGACTAGCTGACTAGTCGATTTCCCCCCCCCCTTTGTAAAACTCTTCTCTTCTCTATAAGATAAGAGAAAGAGGGGGTACTTCAAGGGGGGATTTCCCTGTGGCACTGCTTTGAAATGCCGACGTGACATTTACATGGAGCCCAGGGTCAGCTGGAGAGTCCCCAGCTCACCCGGGCTCTGTGTGGCATTTCAAAGCAGTAGCACAGCATGGAGCACGGGCTCCATGAGGGCGCTGTGGCTTTGAAATGCACAAGAGCCTCTGCTGGGGACTCCTGTACATTTCAAAGCTGGCACCCACATATAACCTGGAGTCAGTGGGACTTCCCGCTGGTCCTGGGCTGCATGCGGAGTTCTGCATTCCTCCTTTGAAATGTGCAAGAACTCCAGTGGGAGCTCTTGTACATTTCAAAGGAGGAATGTGGAAGTGCCTGTAGAGTAGTCAACTAGGCGAGTAGTGTGCTATGCTGAATCAAACAAATGGTGTCTCTAGTTTGGTACTGGTTGCTCATAGTGGCTAGCAGTGTTCCCTCTAAGCTGTGTGGCAGCCCAGCTTCACAGGTAATCAGCCTGGCCCAGTCAGTCAGCTTTGTGCTAGGAGCCCTGAGCCTCTGACTGGGCGGGGCTGATTAATCACCTGTGAAGCTGGGCTGCCTTGCAGCTTACAGGGAACACGCAGCTTGGAAGGAAGGTGCAAGAAGTATCAAAATGAACAGCTACATAATAACTTGCATCATAGGGGATGTTTCTTTCTACCCCCAGACATTAGTGGTGTGTCTACGTTGGGGAGTTATTTCTAAATAACTCTCCTTATTTAAAATAATACGGCGAGTATCCACACTACCAAACCTGTTGTTTAAAAATAACAGGCTTGTTATTTCAAAATAATAACTCCTTCTAGTAAAGAGGAATAAACTTATTTCAAAGTAGTTATTTTGGGAGTTATTATGGTAGTGCAGACACAGCCTTAGAAGGTAGGTGTATGCCCTGAAGCAAGGAGATTTAACTATATATTCCTCTGAACTTTTTCTTAATATTGTGTTGCTGTGTAAACCAAATTTGACTTTTTATATTGCAAGGGCATTTTGAGGAGGTGAATGTTGCAGTGAATACTGCATTGCTTTTTACTTCCCCTTTTCTACTAGCATTGCAGCAAGCAAGGAGTAGACTCTCATCCCGGTACAAAGAGAAGCAAAGCCGCAGTCTTGGACCCCTAGTCTGTCTTTTCTTGTATTTAAAGAGGAGAAATAGCAGTTTAAGTCTTAGCATTTGCTTTTGTGTTAATGAATGTCAAATCCTGACATCCAGAAGAAGAATAACAGGCATTTGTAAGCAAGCCTCTCTCCCATGGAAATTCTGTACATTAACCAGGTAGTGTCAATTCACAAAGGAGTTTACTGCTTGTAAGAGATTTAAATGCACTCTGACCCATAGAGCAATCCCTGTTACAGTACACTTTGGGTGACATGAGCATGTAATTTGCAGAACAGTAAAACTATTATCTTCTGCCTTGCACAGAACAGATTGTTCTGTCTTGTTAAATACACAGCTTGTTTTCAGAGGTAAAGGGTGTTTGAGGTCTCTCTTAATCATCTTCTAAATCACCCCCCTTCAAAGAGGATGAAAAACAGCATCCAGTGTGTGAGGCAGAACATTAGATTTAGGATGTGTCTACACTTGGGGTTTGCACTGGCTTTCAGCCATCAGTGACTAGCCGTCAAAGTTCATGCCCCAGTGAAACACCTAGTGTAGACAGAGGAAACCACAATAAGCCATGACATGCACTAGTGGAATTTACCTTATCTCTAAGCTCCAGTAGTTCATATAGCAGCTTTGCTTCTCTACCCTAGGGACTTGCACCATTACAGCTACGTTGATGGCTGGCCACTGAGGGTATGTCTACACTTGCACCCTATTTCGAAATAGGGATGCAAATGTAGGCATTCGAAATAGTAAATGAAGCTGGGATTTAAATATCCCACGCTTCATTAGCATAATCGCATCCGAGCACTATTTCGAAATCGTGCTGTTTTGAAATAAAACGCCGGTATAACCACGTTATTTCGAGAGAAAACCCTTCTCTCGAAATAACTGTTATTCCTCATACAATGAGGTTTACCAGTTATTTCGAGAGAAGGGTTTTCTCTCAAAATAACATGGTTACACAGGGCATTTTATTTTGAAATAGCACGATTTCGAAGGAGCACCCGGACACAATTATGCCGATGAAGCATGGGATATTTAAATCCCGGCTTCATGTACTATTTCGAATGCCTACATTTGTATCCCTATTTCGAAATAGGGTACAAGTGTAGACATACCCTGATAGCATTAAGTGAGGCAGATACAAAAAATAAAAACAGCCGGACTGGGTCAGACCAGTGGTCTGTCTAGCTGAGTCTCCTCCTTCTTTCTGACCAGCCGCTCTGCTCATGGCACCACTCACAGTGATTGTTACAATTAGTTCAGATTCAGCCTGATACATTCTGGCTTTGTCTACACTGAGATTTTTAGCCATCAGTGTAGTGACACCGGTATAACTGTACTGGCATATGCTCCTAGTGTTGATGTGGTTTGCTGATATAAACTATGACTTGCATTCATGCAGTTTAGCGTGGGTAACACTAGAATACCAGTGCAACAAAAAACTTAGTGTAGACAATGCCTCAGAGACTAAACAGGCTGACCCTGGAGTAGTGAGATAGGAAGGCCCACAAAGCACTGGTCAGAAAGGCAACTGTGAATAACCAAAACAATATGTAAATATTTTGAAACATTAATGGGGCCTTCTGTCACAAGTGTGACAATATAGAAAAAATTGTGGGGAACCAGGTATAGTAGATACAATATTGATGAGAGATAAGTGTGACAGTAAAAGCTATGCAGTAGGAATTTTTGAGGGAGGACAGCTTCAGGCTAGGAGAAGATTTGGGAACAAACCGTTTCCCCACACCTCTCTTGCAGATTGTATTGTGTAGCGCTAGTTGGACTTCAAAGCAAGTCAGAAAACATTCAAACAATTTAGCCTTCTTGTAATCAAAACTATGTAATCTTATAATCTTGTAATCAAAACTATGACTTTTATTCAGTTTGCTATACATTCCCTAATGTGGAAATACTTGAAGCTTTTGGCCTCAACTAAGGATGTGAGAGTTTAATTAACCGCTAAGACAATGCTTACTTATTAATGTTATGGGTTAAATTCTTCCTCACTCCTAGGGAGGCTTCACTGTGGACTTTGCATTATAAAGATTATTTAAGCTATAGATTGCAGAGCCTGCAGCATTTGCAACTGTTATGATTTTCAGCAGTTACACAGGCTATGTCTACACTACAATGATCTATCAGAAAAAGGTATGCAAATTGCAAAGCACAATTTGCGTACCTTTTTCCGATAGTTTTTAGGGAAGAGGCTTTTCCAAAATTTGGCCTGTCTACACTGGGCCAAATTTCAGAAAAGCCTCCTCTTTCGAAAGAACTTGTTGGAGGAGGAAGACAGGGCTTCCAAAAGTGTGCAACTGCTCTTTTGCCAAAAAAAAAAAAAAAAAAAGTGGAAGAACAGACGTGTTCTCTGGACGCAGTGGAGTTTTTCCGGGATACGGTATCCCGGAAAAACCCCGTAGTGTAGACATAGCCTCAGTTACTATTTTAAACAACTTTTAATATCCCTAGCCTCAACAGATCTGAAGGAGTTAGGGGGAAATCTTGATACTGTATTCTCACTAGCCAGGCCTACAGTCCTGGCTTTTGCCACTTGTCTGTATCCCCACATTCTCCTATATTTCTGTAGTAAGCAGTTGTGAAATAAATAAAAGAGATTGATTTTTGTAGGGGAAGTGGTGAATAATCTTTCCCCATCTGTTATTTATCTGCAATTGTTCCCAGGCTCAAGTATTTAAATTAACCAGTTAGCGTAGCAAATCAGCACCCTACTGAGGAAAAGCTCCACCATTTCAACCATTAAATTAGGGTTCACATACAAACATTAAACAAGTGTGTTTATACAAATATTCAGAAAGTTTAAAATGTATCTATTTTATGCTTGTTATTACTCCCTGGCATGCTGACCTCTTCCTCTTTCATGCTGCGAGAGCACCATTGCACCCTCCTCATTTCTGGTGTCTTGCACCATCATTAAGTTCCCCATCTGTCTTCTCCACATTTCTTGCTTCATCCCTTGCACGGTCTACTCATATATAGTTTTCCGCCACTTCCCCATCTTCACCTCCGTACATCTCTGCAACCGCAGGAAATATTCTATGGAAGAATTTATTTTGTAAATGAAATACCATTGGTTTGGTTTGTAATGCACACCTCGCAGTTGGGTATCAATGGGTCAGGTATACTCTTATTTGGAAGAGCATAGAAGTGGTATCAGTACCACTGTGTCTGAGTGTACCTGAACCTTTGTCCTTTTAATATATTTCTGTCTTCATTTTTCTTTGTTTGACTGCATTTGCTCCTTTTCCTTTCCTTTCACTTTACTTTTCCCATCCTCACATCCCTGCTGCTTCTCTTCCCTTCTTCCTCCTCTGTGTTCCAAAAGTAAAGTGAAATAAACAAGAAGGTGCCTTGGAGATGGTTAATTTCACTTTGTTCCTTGCATGTGCATGGTGTAGGAAAAAAAGGTTGGTGTATTTAGATCCCTGAGTCTACAGAAGGTTAATCGTATGTATTTTAAATCAGTGGCATGCTCATTAAAAACCTTTCTGAATAATTCTTTTAATGGATGCTGTCAGATCAAATTTGGCCCATGGTTTAAGTTTTAAAAATGAGCTTTTGACATTAACATTTTAACATTGAGATGTAGCTCAGACTTACTGGTGGAAGCACTTTTTTAAACAAATAAACACTGACTTAAAAACCTTGCAAAGTAACCAGTAGACCCTGAAATGAAATCAATTACAGGCCCTCCCTGCTATAAGTCGCCCTGGTATACATCCTTTCCTCACTAAAGTCATTGACGCTTGTAGGAACTGATGCGATATAAGTCCTCCTATTCTCCACTCTTAAATCGTGCAGAAAAAAACAAGAACAATTTGTGCAAATGGAAGTCAGCATTTGGAAAAAAATTCCCCTCTTAAAGTGGTTTTGCTGTAAGTCCAAGTTTTTTAGAACATATCTTGGTCTTATAGCGAGGACAGCCTGTATAAATAAAATGAGACTGACAAGTCTGTTTTGTTGACCATACTGAGAAATATAAAATGGCACCAATAAGAAAAGTAACTAATAATGAGGTTTTAAAAAGTATTTATTTTAATAACCAAATCTGAAGCAAACTAATTTTGAATTGATGTATTCTCTTTAACACTTTGTCTCAGTAATTTTTTTCCCCTTATGGGAACAGTAGAAAAATATATATGAATTTTGAAAATACCATAAGCTGATTCTAAGAAAGTTAAAAAAACTCTTACATTATGCTATAATTGTTTCATAACTTTGTGTATTAAATAGATGCAGTTGAAGGTTGATTCTCTGAAAGTTGCCTGACCCTGACAGTAGTTCTTTTGCATTGCTTACTGAGTTCCACAATAAGTCTTCTTACATCAAATGTGCAAGCTTCAGGCCAAGCAAGGATTGTCTTTATGAAAAAACTAAATAATTAAAACTACAAACTCATTCCTAATCAGTTTTTAAAAAGCTGAAGCATCTATTTCCAGGAGGTATCCTCTCACAAGAACAATTGTTGTTTAAAGCCAGGGAAAAAGCCTGCAGGCCAAAACATTGTCTCTTCATGTAATTTGCTACCTGATTTAAAAATTGTGGAGGTTTGGACAAACTTCTGAGAATTAGTGCCACATCCTGAGTCTATTTGAACTAGTACTTTTGAGAAAGTGTTTCAGTTCAATGACGGGGGAAAAAATCCTCATTACTATTAAAAGTATTGCCCAGGGTTTTCTGCATTTTCTTATGTAAAACTTTTTTTTAATTAAAAAAAGAGGGAGAGTGAATGGTCCAGTTTTGACGTTCTTATTTTAAAGACTCCAAAGTCTCTGGCCATTCTGAGGCCTAACAGTGTTTCTTTAATCTATTGAAGTTTAAATTGATGTTCGCAAAATATTTAGGGATTAGGGCTGTTGAATGGCATTTAACCAGCTAATCAGCTAGCGGATAGAATTTCCATTGACTAGTTGATAAGGGGGAGAGAACTGCTGAGCTGCAGTGGGGTTAGCTTCTGTCTCTGGGAGCTAACCCCGCTGGGGCTCTGCCTTTTAAATGTGTTAAGAGCCATCTGGCAGCTCTTAATATATTTAAAAGGCTGAAGTGCAGTGCAGGGGACTGGTCATGAGTCAGGAATCAGCTGATTCCTGGCTCATGCCCAGTCCCTCTGCCTCCCCTGTTCCCCTTGCAGAGAAGGTGCTGGGGGGGACTGGCTTGTAAGTCAGCCAGCACCAGCTCTCTCTCTCTCTCTCTCTCTCTCACACTCCCACACGCACACACACCCACACACACACACACACACACACACACACACACACACACACACACACACACACCCTCTCTTACTGCTCTTCTCTGATACAGGCAGCAAGAGGAGGGAAAGCGGCTAGTCAAATCATTAGACAACTAGTCGCTTACATCCCTATTAGGGATGTGTGGGAAGTACATTTTGTGCAACAAGCAGGATTTGTAGTTTGGACTCAAGACCTCAGCCTAATGTGTGTGTTTGTGCTAAGGTCAGAAGAACAAATGATTCAGGTTGTAACCGCTATAAATATATGAGACTGTTTTATACAAAGATGGTTGTGTGAAATCTTTCCATGTTAGAAATAGTCAGAAGATTCTAATCTGAGAAGCTGATTCTGAGTTATAAATCATTTCAAACCAACCATACTATTGCATATATGCAGAGAAACATGGAACTGCACAGAGCGAACGTGCAGCAAACTGCATAAGGGCCTCCACTTTGAAGTTCTGTTTTATATTTGGATTATGGAAAGGAGCCAAGTACAAGTGGAGACAAAGATGGTATAAATATTTCAAGTCTTAATTTTACAGCCAACATAATTAGCTGGCCAGCTAATAAGTGAACACTTTATCAGCCTGTAGACAGTGATAACATGCCACTTGCAGAACGCTGAATCCACACTGAGAAAATCAAGAAAGAAAAGAAACACAGTGCAACAAAGAGCGCCATCTTACTACCACAGTTCAGTGGTGAGATACAGGATTAAGTGACACATTAGTCCCTAATACAGATTCAGATGCTAATTAGCTCAGAACCTAACTCATGGAAGATTAAAGTAAGGAAAGTGACCATATTCTCTGCATTGTGTGAAGGTGGTGAGGCTACCATTTGGTTTCTTGCAGCATCTGATTTCCTTTTATACATAGCCTTCTTCGCCACCTCTTCCTTCTTCAGAGGGGTATCTTTTAGGCCTGTTTCTGTTCGTTCTGATTCCACTGCATGGCATTTGTTTTTGCTTTAGCTTTTTTAAAGCTTTCTGTACCCAGTTCTGTTTTGCTTTTCTAGCTTTTACATATTCTACTCCTCTTGTAATTCTTATCCCAAACATGCAGACCATATTCCTGCAGGGAGATGATCATTGCTGTTCACTCAGGGCCTGATGTAGCTTCTGTTGAAGTCATTGGAAAAGCCTTCCCGGTGATTTCAGAGGGAAGTTGCATCCGCTCAGTGACACAACGCGTACAAAGAAAAGATCCTTCAGTGAGGAGCTCCACTGAGATGCTTACAGCTTAGTGTATTGTAGTAGTTTTCCAGGGACACTATGGAGGTGAGAGGGAACTTCATCCACACAAGCATAAAAGGATGGAATTTTAGTTGTGACGATTATTTTTCCTCTACATTAACCACACGTGGTCTCAAACCAGCAAGAAACAAGAGAGGCTCTTATTACACATTAGAAAGATAGATAAATATTTTTTTCTCCCACTTCAGGTCAGAAGCCCTTCCCCTGTCAAAAATGTGATGTCTTCTTTTCTACCAAATCTAACTGTGAACGCCACCTCTTGCGCAAACATGGAGTTGCCAACTGCTCTCTGAGAAGAAATGGGCTTATCCCCCAGTCTAAAGAAAGTGATGCTGGATCTCATGATAGCACAGGTAGTTCTTCCAGGTTGTTCAGAATAACAAGACAAGTTGTATTAATTTGTTTGGAGACTGAAGACAAGCAAAGCAAATTCATTGCTGCATGACACAAGGCTTTAGTTAGCTTTCTCAGGGTGGAGTGGTGTTTGTTCAGAAAGGGCAAGCTGATAGGAACAAGGGTAATTGTAATTATTCAGTAGTTTTTTCTGTATTGACTACACAGGAGAGACCTCTATCTTCCAATAGAGGGTACATCTAGACTGCAGGGAGGTTTTCGGAAAAATGGCCATTTTTCCGAAAAAACTTCACTTACATCCACACTGCTATTGCGTTCTTTCAAAAGAAAATTGAAAGAACGCCAGGGGTTTCCGACATTGGTAATCCTCATTCTACAAGGAAGAATGCCTTTTCCGAAAGACCTCTTTCAGAAAAAGGTATGTGTGGACATGGAAGAGGGAGTTTTTTTAGAAGAAGAGGAAAGAGGAAAAAGCACAGGTGCTCTGGTGGCCACTCCGTCCATAGTAATCACAGCTTAAATGTGAGATAGCGTCCACACTGAATGGATGCTATCTTTCGAAAAAGCAGATTGCTTTTTCGATGTGCTTTGGCAGTGTGGACGCTCTCTTTCAGAAGTTTTTTTGGAAGATCTCTTCCAGAAGCCTACAGTGTAGATGTACCCAGAAGAGGGTGACCGGTATTTTTTGGTAGACCATCTGGCAGCCCTAGTATGTTCCTACTTCCTAGGTGAGAGAGAAACCATAAAGAATAAACAAAGAAAAGTATAACAGTACAGAAGAGACAAAGTCAGATTTCAGGCCTGAGGGAAAAAAATTGGTAGAAATAAATGTGAAGACCTACACAGAGAGAGAGAGAGAGTGTGTGTGAAGGCATAATAAAATATCCATATCTAACATAGGAAAGTGACTTTGTTTTGTTGTTGTGACTAAATGCTATGCTCTAAATCAGGGCTACTCCACTTTGGAAGCCGCAGTGGCCACAATGATACTCTCAGCACATGCCACAACTTAAGTGTGGTTGCATATACATGAAAATATATATGCAAATAGCTTCTTTCACACTGACAGGCATGAATACAAAGATTAAAGGAAGACTACACAACACGCAGGCCCCATTTAAAACAGTTCTGCTGATATTAATAAAATGCAATATTTATCCGATTTCCACCCATATGACAGCACTTTTAATGAGCAATGACAGTCCAGGAATTTAACTACTAAAATGCATATCAACAGAAGACCATTACATTGACTCGCCATTGTGGAGAATGTTCCCAGTGGAGGCCATGTGCAAAGGATCCCACCCGCGGGCCTGCATGCTGAGCCCCACGTAAACCCAAACCACATCGCGGGCTGTATGTTGAGTAGCCCCACTCTAAATGATGCAGTGAAGGTATGGAATTGGCACTGGGGGTTAGCTAAGAGAGGGCCTCTTTATTCTGTGGTACAGAAAGAGAAACAGATATATTTCAGAAAAGGTCCACAGTATGAGAAAATTGAGAACCACTGCCAGGCAAACATTTACAAACTCTACTGTATATACTCAAACATAAGCCTGTTCATTTTAAGCCGGCCCCGCGCATTTTCAGAGAAAAAATGGTAAAAAGTCACTGACCTGTTTATAAGCCAACCCCAGAGTACAGCAGTCTGGGATCTTATAAGCAGGCCAGTGATTTTTTTGCCATTTTTTTCTCTGTAAGTTTGGGGGGCTCGGTCCCAGACACCTAAGGTTCTTACTGCATTTAAAAGGCAGAGCCGCAGCGAGGGACCTGACGTGAGCCAGGACACAGCAGTCTCAGTTCACACTGGGTCCCAGATGCCGTGGCTCTGCCTTTTAAATATAGTAAGAGCCGCAGCATCTGAGACCCGGTGGCAGCTGGGACTGCTGTATCCTGGCTCATGCTGGGTCCGCTGCTGCCACTCTGCCTTTTAAATGTAGTAAGAATCTACATTTAAAAAGCAGAGCCGCAGCGTCAGGGACCCGGCATGAGCCAGGACTGATATGTCCTGGCTCACACTGGATCTCCCACTGTCGCTCTGCCTTTTAGAATCCATTCATAAGCCAACCTCCGCTCTTCAAAGTGGAATTTTTTTTCCAAAAAAAGTTGGTTTTTGAACAAGTACTTACTACGGTAAGTATAGTTATTGTGTTTAGCAGAATCTACCATTGCTTAGAAATCTCCATTTCTTGATTTGTCCTTACATCTCTCAAGCCCTGTCTGCATTAGGGAATGTTGATGTTGTGATGAGTGTTGCAGCCTCCAGTACATGTTAAAAAGATCATTGTTAGTTTCTAGCAGGACAGAGGGCTTGACATTACAGTCTCTCTGGTCTACAAAACTACCATGCATAGCAATTTTGCAGGTTCAGGATCATAGTTTGTGAGAAAGGAGGAAGAGCTGCTTAGCATTAGAGCCATTAAGTTGTATTAAGGCAAGTGTTATTTAGTAGAGAATCTTATATAGAAGACCCATTTGCATTAAATCAATAGAGCATAAAAACACTTTCCTGCTTAAATAATGGAAGTCGCCTTAAAACAGCTGGGAAATTCTCTAGACTTTCTGATGTATTCAAATAGTGATTTCTACTTCTGGGACATAAAAACATGGATTTAGGCTTTAACATTTTCCCTCATGTTAGTCAGTAGCACTGTTCACATGAATAATGACTATACACTTGAAGGTTTTGTAGGAGCAGAACCTGTAGCATCTTGGTTTTTTACCAGTTACTATATTTAAGTATGCACACACTCATTTATTACAAGTTAATGGGATTTATTTATTTTAAATACATTGCACTTGTCCTTTTATGCTTTTAATGTTCTCTTTAGTTGGAAGGGTTTTAGGAATCTGACTGAAATCCTCAAACTAGCTGTATTTACGGTGTACTATTCTCATTAAAGGTGACTAGATTTAATAGGGGAGATAACAGTAATCTATATTTTGAGTGAATATGATGAAGGAAAAAATAACTCTAGAGTTTAGGTATCATAAACCCTTGGGATTCAAAGTGTTCACTTCAGGGATGGAGCTAAGAAAAAGTGTACCATATGTGTTTTAAAAAACCCACAACTTGCTAAATGGTTCCACCTAGTGGAAGCTGTTCAGATGATAACGAAAAATGTGTCATCTTACACCTACGAGAGGCAGTGTTCCTTGGTTTTGTCTACTCCAGTTTATAAATGTCCCTATGGGATGGGGTTGCAGTTAGGGTTAGGGAATGGGGTTTCTGTAACTTCCTTGGAAACTATAAAGCCATTTTCTGATAGTAACTACTCATATTAATATGAGTATAAAACATTTTTTTCATTATATAACCCTCAGTTCTTCAAGTGCTTCCTTATGTCCATTTGACTTAGGCGTCTGTGTTTGCCACATGCACTGGTGCTAGAAGATTTTCCCTCAGCAGTATCCATAGGGGCCCTGCTCCAACACCACCTGCAGTGGCATGCACATGCTATTCTTTATAGGGTGCTACTGAGCTCCCACTTCCCTCAGTTCCTTCTTGCTGCCAGTGATGATGGTGCTTTGAACTGCATGCTCCAGCTTCGGCTGTAGCTTTAGTAGTCTATTAAGTTGTAACTAGTTTCATTCCAGTTGATAATTACTTGTAAGTAGTTGTACTTAATGGTTAGCTAGTCTCCCCCCCACACACGCACCTGGGGATGGGCGTCCCTGCTCCCCTGGCTTTAAAGCATGTGCTAGGTGCAACAGGCCTGTGCTCTGGCAAGGAGTTCCACAGGTTGACTACACGCTGTGTGAAGAAGAACTTTCTTTTATTAGTTTTAAACCTGCTACCCATTAATTTCATTTGGTGTCCCCTAGTTCTTCTACTTAGGAAACTAATAAATAACTTTTCTCCATGCTAGTCTGGACGCTCCCACGCCGACCTGAAAGCCCTTTATCGACCTCCTCGTTATGCCTCGTAGAATGAGGTTTACCGGGGAGGTCGATAAAGGGCTTTCATGTCGGCAGGGGAGCGTCCAGACTGCCCCGATCTGCCGACAAAAAGCTGATCGGCCGAGCGGGGCAGCCATTTAAATTCAAATGAAACTGCAATTATTTAAATCGCGTCTTCATTTCCCTTTGCCAAACAAACAAATCTACATGGCTCCATCAACGGAGCTATGTAGTTTAGACGTACCCTTAGTGACCCCCCCACACAGATTCTTTCTTCTCTCCGAGAAACCCATATCTCTGGGAAGCATCAGACCTGTAGATCATTTCATCTCTTCCAGCCATGCCACGCCCTCTGGCAAACACCTCTTTTGAGGATGAACCTGGGGGCGACATATCTTTCATATCGGATCCTTCTCAAATGTTTTTGGCCAATCTCCAGTCCTTCTTCACAGACTGGAGAGCTATTACATCGGACTATTGAGTCTTAGCCAAGTGCAGCATGACTGTACCCTCCAGCTTTCTTCTAACCTCTCTTCCACCCACCCTCCCCTTTCCTCTTCAGGGATCCTTCTCATGAGAAACTTCTTAAACAGGAGGTAGGAAAGTTGTTCTATTTGGGAGCGGTGGAGGAGGTACTGCCCCAGAACAGAGGCCGTGGCTTCTACTCTCATTACTTTTTAATTCTGAAAACCAAAAAAGGCCTTCATCCTATCCTGGACCTGCAAAACCTGAACTGCTATCTGGTAAAGCTCAAGTTTTTCATGGTTTCCTTGGCTTCGATTATCCCTATCGCCAAATTGGATCTGGGAAATTTGAATGCCACCCTCAACCTCAAAGACTCGTATTTCATATCATGATCTTTGATGGCCACAGGTGTTTTCTTAGGTTAACAGTAGGTTTGAACCATAACCAGTTTACTGACCTCCCCTTTGGGTTGGCATGGCCCCGAGGCTGGGAGAAAGAAATGCATATCAATGGTAACGGCTTACCTGAGGGGTCCAGGCTATCCCTATCTCGATGATTGGCTGGTCAAAGGCAGCTCCAAATCCAAAATTAGGAAGGCTGTTGCCCTTCTGTTAAACACACATGCCAACATTCGGAGCTCCAAATAAGCAAGAAGTTGACAGTTAGTTCAAGTGCAGTGGGTTCATCAATTGGACTCAGTTGCGGCCTTGGGACAGGGATGAGAGACCCTGCTTACTCTCCTAACTCGGGTCTCCATGGCCCTGCTGCCCATCCTGGTTCGAGCCCCATGTAGCCGCGCTGCACGGGGTTCGAAGCAGCGGGGATTTAAAAATGGCGGCTCCCCGCTTATGCTAATGAAGCCCGGGAAATTCAAATCCCGGGCTTCATTAGCAAGTGCGGTATGCCTACATTACCCCGCTAGTTCGAACTAGCGGGGTAGTGTAGACATACCCGTAGTGACTAAAGGGCCGCCATCTTCACTGAAGAAGTGGGTTGTACCCACAAAAGCTCATGACACCATCTACATATTTTGTTCGCCTCTAAGGTGCTGCAGGACTATTTGTTATTTTTTAACATCTTCACTGAGACCACCCTGGCTTCAAACCATTGGTAACAATGGGAGATAGCACCTGTCTTGCTAAGGGTCAACCCATGGCTTCAATCCCATTGACAGTAATAGAACATGGCAGCCATTTTAGGATGGTTTGCAATATTTCAAGATCATTGTGACCTGCCCTTACTTCCCCGGGCTAGTACAGGTCTTTGGGGTGGATGCAGGTTTTCTTTGCCCCTCTCACTCATATTCTACATAGATTGGTTAGTGATGATGATGATTTACTAGTGCCTGTAGTTCAAGAACCTGTCATGTGCCTCCCTTTTGTTTTGACCTCTGCCTGTCATGTAATAAGGGGGTCATCACTGTAGTTGAGGCTTTTCTCTTGAGAAGGCAGTGGAGTTCTGCTTCCCTGCCCGAAATGCCACCATAAAACCAGTAGGTAGATAACTTTAAATATCACAATATCTAGAAGCATTTTCTATAAATACCACTTCTATAAATATTTTCTATAAATATTCTGTTAGCAGTGCTAATTTTAGAGTTATGCCATAGCATTTTCAGTTCAATTTCTCAAATGACAGTAGATGGCCCTCTCTTTTGTTCACAAGTCTTTCTTGTAATTTCCAACTTGAAAATCCACTATATATAAACTGTGTGCTAATATTACCCAAAAGGGCAACATATGAACACAAACATTTATGAAGAACTTCCAGGTGATCTTTGTTGTGAAGAGTCTTCTCTTTTCTTAAAATCTCTTGTGTGTCAATTTATGGTTGAGTCCTATGTTTTCACGGGTTGGAATATGAGTCCTACTAAAAACTTCAATGGTCCTTGGTACATTTAACGACCTTTGTAAACTAATCTATTCTGATTTAACAAATGAGATTGCATCTTGCTGACAGATCAGGGATGGTGTAGATAATGCTTTAGTTCTGCCTCAATGCAATGGACTGGATTGACATTTTGAGGTCCATAAGAAATCTAGGCAATTCTGAGACAAAATCCACATGCTGAGTATGTGTCAGCGAGAAAAGAATTTAAAATCTCTATAGTTACTAAGCAGCTATTTGACTTGAAGGTAAACACTAAATCCACAGTTATTTTGTTCAACATTTTGGTTGCGAGTACATAGAGCACATTTCAAAATATTAGATCTGTGATAAACAATAAAAGGTAATACTGTTCACTTGATGAATACTAACGTCTAGGTTTATATTAACGTTGCAAACAATTGACTAAAGCAAGGAGAGTCATGGCTTTTGGTAACCTGATTTGCTTGTGTCCTGTAATCTTAACTGAGAAGAGGCACAATAATTACAATTACATTCCGTACATCATTCTCAATTTTGCCATCCAAATCTGGATTATATTCCATTTACATAAACACACTTTGTATAGCATTTATAAGCTCTCTGTTTCTGCCTCCATTTTTCTTTAAAGAAAAGAAGGAATTTAACTCAAGCGGTGTTTTAAGCAATATTAAGAATATGACACAAGTTGATAAAAGCAGGGAGTCTCACAGTAGTTGAGGTTGATAGAATCATAGAACACTGGAACTGGAAGCGACCTTTAGAGGTCATCAAGTCCAGTCCCCTGCCCTTGTGGCAGGACCCAGTACTGCCTAGACCATCCCTGATAGACATTTATCTAACCTACTCTTAAATATCTCCAGAGATGGAGATTCCACAACCTCCATAGGCAACTTATTCCAGTGTTTCACCACCCTGACAGTTAGGAAGTTTTTCCTAATGTCCAACCTAAACTTCCCTTGCTGCAGTTAACTCACTCTGGTTGTTGCAGGGATTACAAATCAGTGGGTGATGTCGCTCATTGCTGGTTTTGCCTTAGTTTATTATACAGATTAGGGATGTGAATGGGTAGCCTGACCCCCATGTGAGGCAGCCAGCCAACAGGCAGCTCTGCACGGCTAGGGCCAGGAGCCAGCTATGACAGCCAGTCCTAATTTTTAAGCAGTTAATTGATTAATCAGGATTTTATATCCCTAGTACAGGTTGAACCTCTCTAGTCCAGCAGCATTACCAACACTTCCACTGCTTACTGGGCTCTTAGAAGACATTTAGGGGTAAAGTAGAGATAAATAGCAGCACAGAACACTGATTGCTGGTGGCTGTAAACAAACTGTATGGCACTGAGGAAACTTGACCACATTGCACAATAAATGGACATTTGGCTAACTAAAATCATGCCAGACCACAGATGTTGCTGGACCAGAGAGTGCCAGACTAGAGAGGTTTAGCCTGTGGTATCATTTTTATAAATATGTTCACTATAGAGAACTGAATCCTTTACTGGCACAAACTTCCGTGGTGATCTCTGTATGTCAGATGTATGTCGCTATAAGACCTGTATCTCTTGTCTACCCAAATTTGGAATATAATAATCTTTAACACTTAATTACATTAATTAATTGCACTTTTTTATTTTGCAGAGGGGCTCCATTATGTAGAAACTGCATCTTAAATAGACTAAGTAGTCTCTTAGAATGCATAAAGCTTTCCTGTTCTATAAATAAATAATGGCAAATCTTTGGAATGCATTTATAATAGTACAGGCAGTCCCCAGGTTACGTACAAGATAGGGACTGTAGGTTTGTTCTTAAGTTGAATTTGTATGTAAGTCGGAACTGTTACATATTGTAGGGGAAACTCTAGCCAAACATTTCTCCAGAGCTCAGTTTTATTCTCCCACACCTCACTTCCCTCAGTCCTTTATTCTCAAGCTGAGGTGTCTGCTGAGAAAAGCCGCTCCGCGTCTCCCTAGTCTGCTGGGGGGGGGGGGCGCTAGCTTCGCGTCTCCCTGGTCTGCTGGGAGGAAGCAGCTAGTGCGGGGTTGCCTCACCCCGTTTGTAAGTAGGGATCCAATGTAAGTTGGATCCATGTAACCCGGGGACTGCCTGTACTGCATTTACCTCCCTTGTTTGGTATCTGAGCATTACCATCTGTTCTCTGTAGTGAGAGTTACTATGCTATGGCTCAATGAAACTGAGATCCAAGAACCCAGTAGCTCTATGTTGGAGAAGAAAGTATGTAGTTGCAAACTCCTAATGGCCTCATTTTGGGTGTCTGTTGTTGTGTTCTTCTTAGCTGTACATTTACTAGCCATGGCTAGTAGATAATTTGAATGAATTAGAAGTGATGCTAGTAAGTCTGTAATGCCTTCACAGAACATGTAGTTAATTCTGGTGGAGGATCACTGACTGATAAAAATTTCCTTCTCTTTGCTTACAGACAGTCAGTCAGATCTGGAGACTCTAGGTGCGGTGCTAGATTTGACCTCTTGTGAGAGAGAGCGCCCAGAGGAAGAAACGGAGCTACCGGAAAACAACTGCAGTCCCAAAAAAGAGCAAAAGGCTGACTCACCCCAAGGAGAAGAGGCTGCACAAGAAAAAGCAGATGAGTATGAAGAGGGACCGGAAGAAGACTCTGTAAGTAACAAAAGCCTTGACCTCAATTTTGCCAGCAAGCTGATGGACTTTAAGCTGGCAGAGAGTGACCAGAGTTCAGGTAACAGCTCTCAGATGGAAAAGAAACATGCTTGTGATGTTTGTGGAAAAACCTTCAAATTTGCTGGCACTCTTGGCCGGCACAAAAAGGCCCATGCTCGTGAGGACAGAAAGGATGAAAAGAGCAGTGAGGATGAAAGCAAAAGTGTTCAGTGTGGAGCTGGAGCTCCCCCAAAGCAGGACTCCTCTCTTGATCAGGAAGAGCCCCCAATGAACTTAAAGGTGCTAGAATCTTCTGTGGACTGTGACACCACAGGAAAGGAGAATGAAGAGAGTGAAAGCATCTCTGAGGGAGAGAGCACAGAGAGAAAATCCTTTGAGAAGAGTGATGACGACAAAAAGCCAAAGACTAATGGGACTAAGAGTACCGCAAAAGCAGACAAGAGGAAGAAAGTTTGTACTGTGTGCAACAAGCGGTTTTGGTCTCTACAGGACTTGACACGACACATGAGATCCCATACAGGTAAGGGGAGAACATGGAACACAACTGCAGGGAGGAGATTGCTGCTTTTGGTCAGCATCCTGTCTGAGCTCTTCAGCCTGATGGAGCTCAGTAGTAGCCAGGATTTCTAATTGCTGCACAACCAAATAGTGATGTGAGTGAGTAAATGGTTAACTCACAGGTGATTGGTTAATCTTAATGGGTGATGCTTACTGGGTTACAGTTAACCATTACCCAGAAGCAGCCCCACGGCCCACCACAGGCAGGATGCTGGCTCCCAGCCGGCAGCCCAGCACAGGGTCAGAAGCAGCCAGAGTGGAGCAGGCCCTCGTCCATGGTGCTCCTGCCCTGATTTAATCAGTTAACCAGCTAACTAATTAAATGGAATTTTACATCCCTACACCAAACTATGTTATGAGACGAGTTTAAGTTTCTGTGGCAACATAAAATGTATAGGAGAGGAATGGGGGAGAGAAGGGTAAACATTCAAAATCCTGTACATCTTCTGAAAACTCAGTGGGAATACATTGTTAATTATATATTTATCTGTGTGTGTGTTGGGGGGGGGGGGGGGGTTAGTATTTAGCATACATTTTTAAAGGGTTATTTTTCCACTTATCGTGCTGTGGAATTTGGAGTTCAAGAGAGAGCGGGGAGATTATTGAACAGATTTTATATCCAGCTGCTTCTCCCCTTCTGTGTGTCTGCACTTCTCTTATATTGTGTTGCACATTGGAGTGTAATGACACTATAAATGGAATACATTGGAGGAATGGGATCCGTTTATCATATGATTCCACAGACCCAGCATTTCCCTGCCATAGTGGATAAGTTTGCTCACACTCCTCGCTGTCTCTCAGAGAGAGGCAACACTCTGATCAGCCGTTGCTCTTTCTGTGAACGTGAGCATAACAGGTTGAATAAATTTTGTACAATGCCCTCTGGTGATTTCATTGTGCCATTGTCCTGGAATAAATGGGGTTCTGCTTATGCAATAACATATTGTTCAACATTGCAGTGTGCGACAAGTTTGAGCCCAAAGTGGTGGGAATCATTTGCACTGTTCCAAATGTGTAGAATTTTAGCATACTTAATTTCACTTACCAATAAGCTGGAATGACATCAGGAAAAGGGACTTCCTTTGTGTGCTGTTTTTTGGCATAACTTTTCATTGATGCATATTTTCCAGTTAAATGTGGGTACTTCATATTTAAATTTTAATCAGAGGTGAAGCTTCACTTAAGTAACCCACACTAAGACACTTAACGTATTAATTTCTCAGATGTAAAACCAATTTCTGATTGAAGTCTTTAAAAAAAACCATACCAAATCTTCACTAGTGTGACTTTTCCAAAGTGCTCAGCATCCACAGATCCTCTTGATGTCAATGAAAATGACTTTTGAAAATTGGGCTCCAAGCCTGAAGGATAAGCGTTGCAGTGAATTTAGTTTTCATGGCTAAATAAGTGGTGGTGTTTAAGGACTAGTTGACTATCCGATAAGCAAATGCTTATCAGATAGTCAGTCGACTAGTCAATTGCCCCCCTCCTTGCTGCCTCTATCAAATGAGGCAGCAAAGAGGGCAGAAGAAGGGGTATTTCAAAGCGGCAGTGCTGCACAGCTGAGCTGGGAATCAGCTATGCGGTGCTGCCACTTTGAAACGCAGAAGCATTGACTCCCCAGCTGACCCCATGTTCCATGCAGCATTTCCCCAGAACCTGGGGTCAGCCTCAGTGTTTCAAAGAGGTAGCGCCATGGACCCCAGGATCAGCTGAGGACACCCCAGCTGATTCCAGGCTCTGTGCGGCATTTCAGCTGAACAGGGATCAGCTGGGGAGTCCTCAGCTGACCACAGGTTCTGAGGAAATGCTGTGCGGATCCCTGGGTTAGCTGGGGAGTCCTCAGCTGATCTCGGGTTCCACTGAAATGCCGCACTGAACCTGAGGTCTGCTAGGGAGTCCGCACCTGACCCTGGAGCATGCAGTGCAGTATGGAACCTGGGGTCAGCGGGGAACACTGAGTCCCCCACTGACCCCGGCTCCATGAGGACTCTGTGGCTTTGAAATGCACAAAAGCCCCCACTGGGGACTTTTGTACATTTCAAAGCAGGCACCCCTGAGGGACTTCCCTCTGGCCCTGGGCTGCAGGCAGAGTTCCACATTCCTCCTTTGAAATGTACAAGAGCCCCAGCGTGCTCAAAGGACGAATGTGGAAGTGCCTATCGATTAGTCAAGTAGTCGATAGAAATTCCATCAACTACTTGACTAGTCAATTAACCGCAATTTAACATGATTAGTGGTGCCACAAGGAAAAACTAGTTTGGTCTCATTTTTGTTTTTATTTGTGTCCATTACAAAATCACTATATCGTAAGATACACCTGTGTTCAAGAAAGCCTTGGGGGGAAGGATTCTGAAGTCTAACATAGCACTTTCTGATGACCCAAATAGTGTTTTTGTGCTTTCTGAGGACTAGCTCCTCAAAAATCCACACGTCAGATACTTTGAATATTTTCATTGTTCCTGAAGGCTTGTTGGACTTATTACTGGATTCTTTCGCTTTCTCCTACTCTCCCACTTTCTTTGCGTAACTTCAAATATATTTTAATCAGTTTAACTTTTTCTGTAATAGTCTTGAAAAATAATGCGTGATTTTTTCCCCCAAATGTAATACATTTAACTAGCTGCATGGCTTGTTGTTTCTATAATATTGTCTTTGTGATGTCCTCCCCCTCTCTTTCCTCCCCCTCTCCCTCCAACTGGGGACTCTTTCAGTTATTTACATTGACTTTTTTCCCCTTGTTTATTCAAATTTATTTGTGGCAAAAATCTATGAGATGCTTTCTCTTTCTTGAAAGGTTTTCTTTTTTTAAAAAGACCTATTAATAAAACAAAAAAGAAGGCTAGGGTCAGCATGGTAAGAATATTTTGGGTTAAGACTAAGGTGCAGTGGCAGGGGTGTGTGGGGAAAATTTGTACAATGCTTTGTTGGAAGAATAAAATAAGATATGGAAGAGCCATGAACCCCTCTCTAGTGCATTTCTCCTCCAAGGCAGGATGAGATTATTTCTTATTAATTTTACTAAGAATGGGCCAATCCATTGCTGTGGTCTCTTCACATTTATGAATACTGAATTGCACTCACATTTTTAAAAAGATCTAAAAGCCATCATATTAGTGGAATCATACCAGACTAGCATAATTTGTTTTCCTTTCTGTTGACCATGGAGGCAGGATGTGTAGTGCACGAAAGAGCTTGTGCAGCATTAAACAGGGCCAGATTCTGAGTTACAGTAGGGTTCCTTTGCAGTACTTTGCCAGTTTTGTGTGAACATATTTTTGCCAAAAAGAAATTTTTTTTTCCTGGTTCTAACCAGACCCTTCTGAGAGTAAAGTTAATCTCTGACTCAGGAACCTCTGATAAATTTACATGCTTTGAAGCTTGCTCAGCATTTACACATTGAATCGCTATTGGACTCTCATTTTACTTAATAAGAGATGGATTAATTAAAGGCCTAGAAAATATGCTCTGTGAGGGAAGATGGAAAGAATTAGTCTTGGTTAGTTTAGAGAAGAGAAGACTGAGAGGGGGGGGACATTATAGCAATTTTCAAGTATCTAAAAGGGTGTCACAAGGAGGAGGAAGAAAAATTGTTCTCCTTGGCCTCTGAGGATAGGACAAGAAGCAATGGGCTTAAACTGCAGCAAGGGAAGTTTAGGTTGGACATTAGGAAAAACTTCCTGTCAGAGTGGTTAAACACTGGAATAAGTTGCCTAGGGAGGTTGTAGAATCTCCATCTCTGGAGATATTTAAGAGCAAGTGAGACAGACATCTATCAGGGTTGATCTAGACCAGTGTTTCTTAAACTGTTCCACGGAACACTGGTGTTCTGTGAACAACTCGCAGATGTGCTGCGACCTCTTCTTTGTTTTTGTCTTTTTTTTGTCTGACAACAATTTTTTTTGGGGGGGGGGGGGGGGGGAAAAACTTTAAAAGG